TTGGCTTAGTTTTTCGGATCTTTGCTGTGGAGGGACGGTGTGGTGCTTCTGCCTAGAGCGCCATTTGGCCGGAACTCTCGACATTATCTTTTTAAGGGGTAAAAACATTACACAGTGTTAGAAAAATATAAACCAGGGTTTGTAGTGCAGGTCTGAGAGACCTCTAGACAGTACAAAGGCAGCAGGGCCTGGTTTTCAGTATTGATGATGGTTCCTTTGGAAAATCAAGGAAATATGTCTCTCATAATGACTGGCAGATAAAGACTTTGGCCCAGAGTATATCACATGGTACCTGTGCAGAGTCCCTGTCAGGTGGCCAGAGGCAGAAGGAGCTGTGCTTGGATAATGGGCAGACAGAGTGCAGAGCACAGAGATGGCACATCCCATGCAACCCCTGACTGGAAGGAGGAAGCAGGAGGGGTTGGGTTGGTGTTCTCAGAGAATATGCTATTGCATGTTCCAAAGAGCAAAACAGACCCTCAGGTTCTCCCAGGCTCTCTGGTGTCCCAACCTGGAGCTATTGCATGTTCCAAAGAGCAAAACAGACCCTCAGGTTCTCCCAGGCTCTCTGGTGTCCCAACCTGGAGCTCCTCCATCAGTCAGCTAAGTTCTTTGCCAACCAGTGACAGTGTCAGTCTTAGAATTTCTTCACTGCTTTCTGAAGGTTGACGTAAAACCCAGCCATGCTGCGGGGGAAGAAGGAGTCCACCACTGTCTGTGGGAGGTAACCACTGAGGTCGGTGTGGAAGAAGGTGACCACATGGGTCTTGTTGGGCTCCCTGTTAAAGCAAGAGCACAGCTGTGTTATGTGTGCGCAGCAAAGGCTTGGGGACAAGTGTCAGGGTGGGCAAGGGGAGCCCAGTTCAGTAGAGATGTCCATACACAATGAGCTTGTCTAATCCTTAATGAACCCCTAATTCACTGCCTGGGGATCTGCTCCGCACCTGCTTATTTTTCAGAAGGAAGCATGCCACCTGTCCTCTTGCGGATGCACTGCATGGCCCCACAGGCCCTCTGCAGGAAGCAGTCCCTACTTTCAGCCCAAGAAGGTAGTCCCTTCTCTCCCCGATTCATTCAGTAAATGTTTTTGGAGAACCCACTCTGTGCCAGGCCCTGGGAGGAACAGACACAGAAGCTGCCCTCCATCCCCATACAACATCAGTTGTCAACATGGTCTGGAGACACCTAGGGCTTCCTGAGACCCTTTCAAGGTCAAAACTATTTTCATAACAACACTAAGATGGTTTTTGCCTTTTTCAGTTGCATTCTCTCACAAGTGTACAACGAAGTTTACCAGAGGTTACCTGGTACGTGATTTCACAACAGACTAAATGTGAAAGCAGATATGAGCTTCTGGGACGTTGACATTAAAGAGATTTGCAAAATGTAAAAAAATGCTCCTCTTGGCACTATTTTTATAATTTGAAACATTTAGTTATTTTTCATAAAAATAGGTGATTTATATGAACAGGTAATGGATTGATTGTTATTTAAAATAAACGAAACATTTCTTAGTTTGGATTTTGAATCCAGTACATATTGACAGAAAAACCCCCACATAAACAGAAGCCCTTGAAGACCTCTGTGATCTGAAGAGTATCATGGAGCCTTGACACCGAAAACTTGAGAACTTCTGATTGAGAGAACTGACACCATAACCTGAGCAAGTGTGAAGGGACTTCGGCCAGGTGGCGGCAGGAGCCCACAGGGAGGTAGGGACATGGTACATGGCACGAACCCTGGAAGTCAAGGCCAGTGTTCTAGGGCCAGCTCTGCCACCAACTCGTGGTGTGACTTGCTGAGGGCAGCTGACATCCCTGGCTGCATACGTGATGATGTTATGGCAGGGGCAATGGGGGCAGTGAATCCCATCCACCAGAATCAGATTAAGTGAGGGGCACACAAAAGAGGAGCTGGGGCACAACTCGGCAGGGACACAGAGGGGTCTTCACGGTTGCCACCTTCTCAATGGTCAGGGCAACAAAGGAATGGGCTTTGTGGAGACCATCTGGCATTTTATGGTTTGTTAATTGCGGTCAAATTGATTCCAACTCATGGAGACTCTACGTGTGCAGAGTAGAACTACACCATAAGGTTTTCAAGGTGGAGACCTTTTGGAAGCAGATTGCTAGGCCTGTCTTCTGAAGCACCTCCAGGTGGGTTCAGTTACAACCTTTTAGCCAGTAATCAAGCACGTAACCGTTTGTGCCACCCAGGGACTCCTCCATTTGGCATTTTAGTTGAATGGAGCCATCAACAGCATATTAAGAGCCTTATCAGGAACCCCACACAGCATTGCATCTGTCCATCCAGTGTCTTCTGACATGCAGGTCAAGGAGTTGGAACTGAGACCGTTTAGGAAGCTGTCCACCCAAGGTTGTTTAGACAGGGCAGCTGAGGCCCAGAGAGGGACGGGGCCAGCACGTGAACAACAGTGCGGGATGGCATGTCTACCCTGGCGGTGGCTTTTTTCCTCTGCTCATGCCCTGTCTCACCATGGAGCATGAAGCCTGAAGAGCAGGGACTTCCTCAAATCTCAAAGCCTCAGCATCATTCAGAATACACCCTCTGCCTTGCTCACCAACCTCCATCCATTCCACCTTTGCTGGGACCTTCACTCTTCTCTCTGCTCCTACTTTCACTGGGCCAGCTCAAGGTCTCATCCCCTCTCACCTACACTTTCAATAGCACTGTCCCACGTAGACCTTCTGCCTCCAGTCTCATCTGGCACCAATCCATCCTGCTCACTGATACAAGATAAACCTTCTAAGCTCAGGACTCTTCTTGCTAATCACTTGCTCAGAAACCAAGAATGGTCACCCACAATCCACATAATTAGTAGTCTTTAGCACAGTATTTACGGCCCTTTTTAACCTGGCACCAACCTTCCTTCCCCTCTCTTCTCCAATGACCTACTGTTACAGGTTCACACTGTATATCCTTGCTGGTGCCTTGTCTTTTACTCTTCCCTCTGCTTTGAATGCTATCTCTCATTATACCTACCTGTTGAAATCCTGCCCTACTTTCACAATTCAGTGTAAAAAAAATCCTTCTCAATTCCTGCGGCAGATATTGGATGGGTATCCACGGTTCTTTGGACTCCTATAGAATAGTTGCCATTGAGTTGATTCCAACTCATGGTGACTCCATGTGTGTCAGAGTAGAACTGTGCCCCATAGGATTTCAATGGCTGATTTTTTGGGAAGTAGATTTCCAGAACTTTCTTCCGAGGTGCCTCTAGGTGGCCTCAAATTTCCAACCTTTCAGTTAGTAGCCAAGTGCATTAACTGTTTGCACCACCCAGGGACTCCCATAGTCTTTATATATTCCATTTATAACATATCCAACCCTCCTGTCCCTGCAGTCATTAGCATCATCTCCCTCCCTAATCACCTGCTCAGAAGTGCCTTATCAGGAACCCTACATAGCATGTTAAGGCCAAGTTTGCTGATACCCATGAGGACTAGCACCCAGAGCTTTGCTCACAGTCAGGATCCATAGACGACTACCGCATTGCTCGACTTGAGACTGTAGTCCTAACGCCTTCAAACAGGTATGTGTTGGCAAAACATAGCTCTGGGATAAATGGTTTCTGAATGCTGCTCCTGAGTGGCTTCATCAGAACCATCTGCGCAGGCGTGAGTTAAAAATACCAGTTCTTGAGGCACCACCAGCCCTACTGAATCAGTGTGTCTGGAGGGGGTGACTAGAAATCTGTATTTTTAACAGCACTTGCCCCCAAGGTCCTCCTTACCACCTCCCAGGATTCTGAGGTATTGCCATGATTGGGCACCTCTGAACTAAAATCCCCCATGCAGACATCTCTTTGGGTTAGAAGTATGGATGGGTAAATGAGAACTTTTACTCAGCGACCATGTTCCCCTTTGAGTGAGCACTGGGCTTTATGGGAGGAAAAACATATGGCTGACGATGTGTGGGAAGAGGCAAAATCAACACATCACAAAGTGACCACAGTAAATAATGACTATTGCATGTACACCATTATGAGACATTAACAGAATGAGAAAAAGGGGCTCAGAGAACTGTTGCAAGTTGCCCAGTCTCCTCATAGAGAAGGCTGGGATAAAGATACCCACTCCCAGTTTGTTATAAGGATTCATTACGACAGCAAGTGTAAAGCACTTAGCATACTTCCTGGGCAAAGAACCAACAACCAAACCCCTTGCCATCAAGCTGATTCTGACTCACAATGACCCCATGTGTTACAGAATAGAACTGCTACATAGGGTTTTCTTGGCTGTAATCTTTACAGAAGCAGGTCACCAGAAATGCTTCCACTATAATAGACTCCTCCACCTTGAAAACAACTCGGAATCCAACACCTCTCCTTTGCAGCTGCCACTCTGAGCTGTCACCACCACCATCTCTCACCTAGACTACCACAGTGCCTAATTAGTTCCTTTGCTCTTGCTCATGGTCTCCTACATTCTAGATTCATCACAGCAGCCAATGTCGTCCAGTTAAAGCTGAAGTCAGAGCAGGTCCCACTTGCTCAAAACTCTCCAATGGCTTCCCATTTTATTGACAGGAAAATGACCAAGGCTTCACAATGGCCTCAAGATGCTATAGGATCTGGCCCTCCTACCTCTCTGAACGTAACTCCTACCCTCTCCCCTTGCTCACTTTTCCGGCCACAACAGCCTCTGAGCTGGTCCCTAAATGCCTCACGCCTGCTTCCACCTCAGAGACTTTGGACATGCTCAGCCCTCTGCTAGGAACACTCCCCGCAGATAAGCCATGGCTCCTTTATTAGCACTTTTCTCAAATGCCATCTACCAGTGAGGCCCACTCTCACTTTTCCCTGGCATCTGCATCTGGCTTTAGGTTTCTCCAAAGCACTTACCAACCTCTGAAAATTACACGTGTATACATCTGCTATGACCTGAGTGTTTGTTTTTTGTCTGTCCCCACTGCCCCCACTAAAATCTCAACTCCAACAGGAGTTTATCTGTTCTGAGAGGTCAATAAATGGATCAAGAGCAGAGATTCTGGAGACAAATACCTGGGTTTAAATTCTGGCTCTATTACCTCCTGGCTATGTGATTGTGGACATTTTTACTTAACCTCTCTGTGCCCCAGTTTCCTTATCTAAAAGATGGGAATACTAACAGCACATTAGGGTTGTTGTAAGAATAAGAATGAATACATTTATGCAAAGTGCTTAGAGCAGGGCCTGACACACAGCACTGCTGTGGAAGTGTTTGCTGCTGCCGTTGTTCCACAGTGCCTGGAACAAACCTGTTCTGGTAGAATGATAAGAGAATAATCATCACTGTGGGTTTCAGACTTACGAGAAGAGCTCTGCATGCGGCAGACTTCAACATAAAGCTTTCCTAGGAACATAAAGTGCTTTTCATCAGGCTGATGAGAGGTGGAAGACCAAGGCTCAGGTCAAAACCTGTGTGCTAGCTGGGTTTCATGGAACCATCCTGACCCCGGTCACTCCATTTGCAAAATCCGTGCAATCATCTTTGCTACCTGACATGAGATGTGCTGGTCTCTTCACCTTGTGTGTTCCCATGGCAACCAGCCCCTAAGAAGAAAGGGCTCTGCCTCTTATCCTGAAAATCACTCTCCATGAGACCTGGCGACGTGGGTGGGTCCCAACACCTGGCTCGGCCAGGCAAGAGGAGAAGAGAGAGGCAGAGGTCAGCAGCTTCAGCCCAAGTCATTGGATCTAGGACAGCTCTCTGTGTGTTTGTTTTTAAAGCAAAAATAAAGGTTTTATTTGGCATATATTCAAAAAGGCAAAAGCAGGAAATGGACAGCATGCTGCCAGAGCCATATCTGCTCGAATCCAAGGAATATTACAGAACAGGCAAAAGCGGGCAAGCAGACAAATATGCTGCTACAGCCATGTCTGTCAGAGTCCAAGGAACGTGACAGAATCATCAGTATGTACTAACATTACAAATGGGCAAAACCATTGAAAGCTTCACCTTTTCACAGATGGGCTAAAAACTGCTAAATCACTGTGACTCTACATTTTTTAATTGTCTTTCTTAACAGTCATTGGTACAGGTTGCAGTAATGACAGTCAGCAGGGTCTTCACTGGTCCAACAAACCTTACTATTCACTGAATGTTAATAAAAAAGATAAGAGTGAAAAGTATGTGGGTCTTTTGTGCTGTTTATGATTTGTTTATGTGAAAGGCTCCCTAAAAGATGTTTTCCCAGATTGTCCTAGCTATTGTCTTTATACCTCAGGGCCCAGTTGATGTGTCCTTGTGGGTCTTTGTGGGGCCTTATGAGTCCAGCTCCAGCTGGGTCACATTCTTTATACTCAAGGACAAAGAATAATGGCTCCAATATTATCCCCTAAATCATTCCCTCCTTTTGATCAGAGATTAGAGATAACACATCGATGATCAAAACCTGGACTTAGTTGGGGTCCTAAATGGCAGCCATGGCAGGCTCTTTAAACTTATGGTGTAGGTTTTCCACCGCATACCATCTGGTTCTTTACTGAGACAGCTCTGTATCTGGGGAGTCAAAATTGAGTGCAGGAGTATGTTTGCATGTGTGTGTTGGAGCCCATTATGGTATTATCAAACTCACACAATTTTACTATGTTTAAAAACCATCTTTTAAGAGATGTTTAAAAAGCCAGATTAGCTAAGAGTATTACCCAGAGGTTCTGGGTCTGAGTGTTTAGTAAAACATTACAGCACCAAGGCCCATCTCTTCGGATTGTGTGCTGAGAGCAAAGACTCTTCCCCATCCTGGTGGACATACAGGGACTGCAAGGTTACAATGGGACACACCTTAGGTGCAATTTCTTTTATTGTCAACTTGGCTGGCTTCCAGGAGCCACCAGTGACCTGAATTGCACATAAAAGCTCCTGGTAAAAACCTGGCCACAACTGTGAGAAAATGGGAACAGAATAGTTCCCAAGCTCAGTTCTGCCGCCAGCTCAAAGTGTGGTCTCAGAGTCGTCCTTCAGTGCCTGGGCACCTCATCCCATTCTTTGTCTGGGGTGACAATCACCAGCTGGAATGTGGGGTGGCAACTACTATCCTCTTAGCTGCTCCAGGCTGGTAGATCATGCTCAAAGAGCACCCAAGAGAATACTTGGGACCCAGGTGCTGCTCTGCCGACCTCCCAGCCTTTGACCCTGGAAAGAGAGCACTTAACCTCATCTGCTCAGTACAACCATGACACTTGTCCAACCTGACCCAGGGAGCTGGAGGCAGGATTCTCCAAATTAAGAATAACAGGAATGATTCCTCTCCATGATTCTTTCCCACTTGCTAGGTACTGTCACGTATTAGGAGCCCTGGTGGTGCAGTGGTTAAGCATTCTGCTGCTAACTGAAAGGTCGGTGGCTTGAATTACGAGCCGCTCCATGGGAGAAAGATGTGGCAGTCTGCTTCTGTAAAGATTTACAGCCTTGGAAACCCTATGGGGCAGTTCTACTCTGTCCTACAGGGTTGCTATGAGTCGGAACTGACTCAGTGGCAACAAGCTTTTTATATGTCACGTATTATGTCACTGATGTGTACATGATAGTGTTTTGTAACATCGAAGCCTAAAGAGCTGTGAGGCATTTTTTTTTATTGCGAATCCTAATCAATGTGCCCATTTTAATGGAATGGCCACAGTTAAACAAGGAGAATGTAATTCAATTCAGAAGATTATTCTTACCCTGGAAGAGGTTCACAGAAGCAACCACAAGGGTGGTTAAATCCTCTCACGTAACCCGGCTTCGGAGGACATAACGGATGTTCAACATTGGTAGCTGGAAGATAGAGCAGATGGTCAGTGAACTAGAACTGCAGACAGTCAGGCAGCTGTCACTGACCTGTCTTCGTTGGGCACTGTCATGGTTTGAATTATGTCCCCCCAAAAATGTGTGTATCAATTTGGCTAGGCCATGATTCCCAGAATTGTGTCGTTGGCCTCCATTTTGTGATTGTAATTTTATGTTAAAGAGGATTAGGGTGGGATTGTAACACCACCTTTACCCAGGTCACATTCCTGATCCAATGTAAAGGGAGTTTCCCTGGGGTGTGGCCTGCACCACCTTTTATCTCTCAAGAGATAAAAAGGAAAGGGAAACAAGCAGAGAGTTGGAGATCTCATACCACCAAGAAAGCAGTGCCAGGAGCAGAGTGTGTCCTTTGGACCCGGGGTCCCTGTGTGGAGACGCTCCTAGTCCAGGGGAACACTGAAGAGAAGAAGGCCGACAGAGAGAGAAAGCCTTCCCCTGGAGCTGATGCCCTGAATTTGGACTTTTAGCCTACTTTACTGTAAGGAAATAAACTTCTCTTTGTTAAAACCATCCACTTGTGGTACTTCTGTTAAAGCAGCACTAGACAACTAGGACAGGCACCCAGAGTGCATGCAGACCCAATGACCCGGGGCTAGGGAAGTCAGCAAGAGGACTATTACTTGGCCCTGAGTTCCCGCCTACTCTCCCCAATGCCCCTTACACCCAAACACACACACACATTCATGCTCACACATACATGCACACAGACACACACTCATACACACTCACATGCACACAAACTCACTCATACACATTCACGCACACACATGCACATAAATTCATACACGCTCTCACATGCTCATACACTCACTCATACACATTCAGACACACGCATGTACACAAACTCATAGACACACACACTGACATACACACACTCATATACATATGCTCACATACATGCACAAACTCACTCATACACATTCACACACACACATGCACACAAATTCTTACACTCGTTCATACACATTCACACACATGCGTGAACAAACTCATACAGTACTCACATGCTCACACACACGCACACGCTCATATGCATTCACTCACATACATGCACACATCATACACACTCATCCAACATATACTCGTGCACAGACTCAAACTTACGCATTCATATGCACTCACGTGCACACACTCTCATGTTTATTCAAATACACATGCACACAAAGGTATACACACATTCACACAAACTCTTCCATAAAACTCACACCCACTCGCTCATTCGCATTCATGCACACACTCACACATATCTTCACACAGCTGGCTTCCCCAAGCCTGCCAGAATATTAGAGAAAAGAACACTTCAGAATGTAAGGCTTGCAGGTGGAAGGAGGAAGATGCACCCCTCAAACCGCAGCCCACAGAAGCGTCTACCTCCATGTGGAGATTCAGAGAAAATGGCAGGGGCAGGAGCTTTCAGGAGGAAGTGTTATAAAAGGCGCAGTGGCAGGAGCATTGCTCTTCTCTGGAAAGAAGACAAGAAACCAGCATCACAGCCCTCTCAGACTGGCACTCCCATGGGTTCACAGAATCACTGCACGCTGAGATTTTGTGAAGCCAAACTCGAACCTGCAGGTGCAAACTATGAGCCTCAGCAGGAATAAAAAAGGCACTGATAAATCTGAGACTTAAAAATGAAGTTATTGGCATGGTGACTCTTCCACTTCAGACCCGCATGACCCAGAATCCCCCCAAAGTCCACAAAGCAAGCAGCACAGAAGAAAGACCCAAGGAGTGAGTTCTCTGGTGACTTCCATCTGGTCCACTGAACTGAGAGGGTGCAGAGGAGAAAGACCCCCGCATCCCACAAAAGCCCAGGCAGCACCTGAGCCATCGCTCACCATTGGTACTGATGGTCCCATCCTCGTATTTTCTGATGAGCACCAAGTCCACAAAATCTCTGGGAGAAATGAGCTTCATGGCAGCTGAGGGGGTAGAGGTTCTGCTTACGCACAGTGTCTGCCAAAGCAAAGGGGAGTCCAGCTGCATCTGGTGGCCAGATATCTTCTCACCATCCCTACTCCACCCCTGGGCTCATCAACCCATTCCCTTACCCAGGGTCTGGAAAGCAGGGACAGCAATGACAGAACATTGGCACAATGACCTGGAGGGTCAAGAATGAGGCCCTCCTAAAAGAGCTAACTTTCACTGAAATATACCCCGTGTCTAAAACCTAAGACTGACATTGGTTGCACATGGCCATCTTGTCACTCTTTAAGTTAGTTATGTCCCAAGAGGGATCATAAGAGTTGCCATTTATTGAGTACTTAGCAAGAGCCTGGTGGGATCAAAGCTCTCTTTTATCCCTCATTGACCAATACTGACAAAAACTCTGAGAAAATAAGTATTATTAACCCATTTGACAGGTGAGGAAACTGAGACTTGGAAAGGTTAAAGAACTTACCTACAAAGTTCATGGTGGAAATGGAATCTGAAGAGGGTCAGGATTAGGGTGAGGCAAGAAAGGCACTAGGGCTCAACATTTAAGGAGGCATGCCTTTTTAAGGCCAACCCTGCACTTGCACAACCTTGAGAGTAAGTGCCTCCTTAACAGTTGTGCCCTAGGTGGCACTCTGCTTTCACCCTAGCGGTGGCTCTATGAGGGAGCACCTCTCAAGCCTCACTCAATTTCAGAATATCCCATCTGTCCACTCTCCAATTTCCTAAACTAAGGCCACCCCGATCCACTTTGTCCCACTATCCCCTCCTCCAGCAAGACCCCAGCTGTCTCAAGGTCACAATGAAGAAGCACAGGTTACATTTGAAGAAGTCTAGGGGTGAGAAGGGATTGGAAAATGTCTCTTCCTCATCTCCGTTTGGTATTAAGACTTCGGGCGCCATGTGGTGTTGAGAAACCTTTTGGTAGAGACATCTTTGACCTCAGAGTATTAGTTCTCAAGGTGGGCATGTGATTCCTGGGGGTACATGAGCACTTTTCAATAGGGGGTTTGGGACTCGGTTTCCAGATGAGCCAACCTCCATGTGTCCTTCTTCCTGAAATGACCTGTCTGAGAGGGAGTTGCACGTTCATGCAGGTCTCCCTGCCCACTTGTCCCTCTCCCACTGGAAAAATCACGCATGGCTCCCACCCATCTGAAATCATCCTATCACGCATTGTCCCCAGGGTGCCAGAGGGACAATTAGGAATATTAGTTTCAATATTTAATCAAGGCACTACACACTGGTGTCAGAATTTCATGTCTTCCCCTTCCTTAAGCACGGTCTTATTAAAGGCGTAAGCTTGGTATTAGAAACAAAGTAATGTGCTTTTTCTGAATTCTGATATTTTGTAGAGGTGGTAGCAGAAGTGATTTTTTTTTTTTTAATAACCATACTCCTTCACCCTTGATAACTGCTAAAAAATACATCATTCCTGAAGGAGAGTATCTGAAGACCAAGATGAAGAGGACATTGGTGAGAAATACTGAAGGTGGCAGCACATGTTATAAATGCAATGAACTCATGGCATGGTTGTGGCTTTCCCTCCCTCCCTCCCATCTATCATTCATCCATCCATCCCTGTATCCAAACTATCCATCCATCCACCTACTCATTCATCCATCCATCCATCCCACCCACTCATCCATCCGTCCATCCATCTCTGTATCCTATCTATCCATCCACTCACCCATTCACCTATCTACCATGTCTTAGAATTCAAAATATTTGAGATTTGTTAAAAACATGCTGAGAAATACCAATCTGCCAGAAACAGCCATTTCTCTGCATTTTTGTTATTTTAGGAATGATAAAAAGCTATCATTTGTCAGTGCTTCTCTGTGTTTTTGTAAACCTGAGCTTACCATAGCTCATACTTCCCCTTCTTTGTGCTGTTCATGTCTATTGAAGGCTGTATCTTTCCAGCAGTAAGCTATCTCTTCATGGACACAGGAACTAATTAGAAAAAAGAGCTCCCATTCATCTCATTGAGAGATGCAAAATATTTTACTTTTTATGTTTAACAGTTCTTCATCAAAATTTGTAATATAACCATATTATTTAAATAAATTACAATCATAACTCAATCCAGATTTTTTTTAACACTCAGTCTTATAATCAGAGGAAATGACTTTTAAATATATATAACATCAATTTACCACATATTTATGATGTACAGAAGTGTGACAAGATGATCAATAAAAGCATTTCATGAATAAATAGATGATTATATTTGGATAAAATTCAGTGGACTAAGTGGAATGGAAATTTGAGTTCAAGGAAAAATATTATATAAAATATCCAACTATTTTAGAAGTGTTTGCTCATGTATTTTTTAAATGACTAATGGTAAATGAAAATTTATGTTATTTAGATACATTTACAAGAATGTCATTGCTTTATCTTAAATTGTTATATTTATTGTATGTCAAAAATTACATGCTTTGCAACTTATGAAAACGTTAGATGTCAACTAAATGTTACCTGTCAACTAGATATGTGGGGGATAATATATAATTTCTCAAAAAATATGTTGGAGGTATGCAAGCAAAAAGTTAGAAGATCCTTGCACTAACAGAGGACAGGGAGCTGGCTGACTTGTGCTGACTCGGGCCCAGCCTTCAGGGAAGTGGGTGATAGGGATTGAGGGTCCAGTAGAGCCTGGCTCAGCAGCCCCGGGTGGGGAAGTATGCCAGTTCCCCTTGGGGATGAACCAGGGTGCCTACAGGAGGGAGGGGGACTCCACCAGCATCCTTCCCAAACTTCAAGAAGGCAAGAACAATCTGCACCGAAGTAGAACTGAGCATGGGTGAGCACCTGGCTTTCTGTGGTTCTGGCAAACTGGGGAAAGAACGGTGTTTACAAAGCAGCCACAAGGACAGCACATCATTTGTGGGGCCTCTGAGGGATCAGGTCAGCGGGACTGAGGACTGGAGCTGGATGAAGGCTGGGGGTTACAAAGAGGCTCTGCAGCTGCTCTGGAAGGTGGGGTGAGTGATGGCTACAAGCCTGGGGACCTGGAGTCACGGGCCAGCTCTCAACTCCCACTCTGCCTCTTATAACCTGTGTGAACTCGGGCTGGCTCTTTACCTCTTCGAAACCGATTCCCTCCCCCAGGGTTTCAGTTTAAGTGCTTGAGCATGTAACACAGTATAAAAAGACTCAGTAAGTAATGGTGCTTATCATTTTAATCATTGCTACGGCAGCTCTGGTATCATCCTACAATTTTCTAGGCCCTTCATTCTTCCTCACCATCCACCAGTCATCGTACAAAGACAAAGAGGTCCAAGCATACTTGCATGTTTGCCCTTCACCTTCAGGAAGAAAATTCTATATGTGGTCATTCTGTAATTTCATTTGTATTCTCTTTTAAGGACTTTGATCCTTGGTTCCTAAACTTCAGTTATTTGTGGATCATTATTTGCATAGTATCTTCACAATTTCTTGTCAAATCTGGTATCATCTATCCTTAGTTACTTAATATTTTTCTCTAAATGTGCTTACTTTGAAAACTTTTAGGTAAATGCATTTTAAAAGGAAACTGTTTGACTACTAGAAGTGGAAAAAAAGTAACACCATAATAAAAGGCAACTGCAAAAAAAAAAAATACACATATACACACACAGAGACAGAGGGGATAGATTCTAATTCTAATTCTGTGCTGCCGAGTCAACTCCAACTCATGGCAACCCCACGTGTGTCAGAGTAGAACTGTGCTCCATAGGGTTTTCAATGGCTGATTTTTCAAAAGCTGACCACCCAGCCTTTCTTTGGAGGTACCTGTGGGTTAACTCAAACCTCCAAGCTTTTGGTTAGCAGCTGAGTATGTTAACCGTTTGAAACACCCAGGGACTATGGAGCACAGTTCTATTCTGTCACACATGGGGTTGCCATGAGTCAGAATCGAGTTGACAGCAGTGGGTTTGTTTTGTTTTTTTGAATGGCCACGTGGAGCTAGTGGTTCCGCATTTGATAGTGCAGTTACAGAACACTTCTTTCTATCATTACAGAAAGTTCTAATGGACAGTGCTGGTCTAGATGACACACATTTTACAAATGAGGAAACTGTAATCCAGAAGCCACCACTTGGCATGGTTCCACAGCTGGAAGAGAATCCACACTCCTTGGCCAGGGCTCTCTTAATTCATTACTGTGGTGTGATGGATTGATTTCATGTGACCTTTCTTGCCATGGTCTTGTAACTCCCACCCAAGTGACTGGGGGGGACTACAAATAGGGTAATTGTGGCTGGTCAGTTTTGCCATTCTGCTGGGCTTGAAATGAGCCATCCCAGAGATGGGAAAGAGAGGATTCCACCACCATCAGGGAAGAACAGACAAGAGCAAAGCACATCCTTTAGACCCGGGATTCCTGTGCTGAGAAGCTCCTGGAACCAGGAGACAGAGAGAGAAAGAGCTGTAACACTGAAGACGGCAAGAACATGTAGCAGAGAAACGGTGGCAGGAAAGACTGGCAGGAGATGATGCAGTGGGCTTCCCAGCCCATGGAGCGAGAAAGCAGAGTGCTTTTGGGCTGAGGCTTACTGGCAGAGTGGCGTGCCTCTGGGCACTTACCGGTAGAGCTAAAAGATCTTTGTAACGCTTGCTCCATCAGGGCAGAGTCCGAAGGCCAGGGAGAGGCATGCTTACAAGCATGCTGGGAAGAGGCTGTCTTAATGAAAGAACTGTATCCTGAGTGTTCCTCAACCTGAACTGTAACCTGTCACTTCCTTAATAAACCCCATAATAGTGAGGACGGTCTGTGAGCTCTGTGTGGCAATTGCAATGAATTATTGAACACAGCAGAGAAGTAGGCAGTGCCATGGGAGGGATGGTTGGTGTCAGAATTGGTAAAAATGGCAAAGGGAGGAGGCATGTCTGACCTTCACCTCACAGGACTCAGCCTTGGGCTGTTGATCTTGATTCTTCTTCCCCCTTGTGAACTTAAAGGAGGTTAGACGCCACTGCCAGGCCATTTTTACAATTACCATGTCCCCATCAAGGAACAACCTTTCAGACTAGTGCTGATGGGGCTAGTGAGGTTCCAGACACCTAGAGCTGAGGAACCTAGTGCTGAGGTTCCAGACACCGGCTTCTGTGACCTCAGAGCCCACAGGGAGACTGTGCATCTTTATCAGCTGCTGCAATGTTCTCTCAGCTCTGTTTAGGGTTTCTATGACTCTCTGGAACACACTACTTCCTACTCATACCTGGGCTACAGTGTTGCAAGCAGAGGGCTGCCTGTGCTTACTGGGCATCAGGGGTCTACAGGATAGCCCCCTTTGTCAAAAGGTGTCACAGAACCCCTCCACGGGAGACAGAGTCAGGTTACTGCAGCAGGACCCTGACGCTGTCATTGCGATAGCAGACTTGGAAATGACTTACATCAGTGATGTTTTCAATGACTTCAAAACTGCTCACATTCTCATCCCATTTCTCTCGCAGGCCCCCAGTGACCGGCTTCACGCAGTCCCACACCTTCTCTGGGGTCCCACACACAATTCCTTCTCCTCGGTACCTGGAGCACAAAAAGGAATCTGACCCCAAGGCATCAGTCAAACTTGTTTATTTAAGATTCTATCCAATGACTAGAGAGTCTTTGGGCGGTGCAAATGGTTAACATGCTCACTGCTAAACAAAAGGTTGGAGGTTCAAGTTCCCCCAAAGAAGACTTGGAAGAAAACCAAAAACCAAAGCCACTGCTGTCAAGTCCATTGCAACTCATAGCAACCCTACAGGACAGAGTAGAACTGCGCCATAGGGTTTTCAAGGCTGTAAATCTTTACGGAAGCAGACCGCCACATCTTTCTCCTATGGAGCTGCTAGTGGGTTCAAATCACTGACCTTTTGGTTAGCAACCAAGTACTTTAACCACTGTACCCCCAGGGCTCCTCCAGACAAAAGGCCTGGTGATCTACTTCCGAAAAATCACCCACTGAAAATCTAATGGAACACAGTCCTACTCTGACACATATGGGGTCGCCATGTTGACTCCATGGCAACCGGCTTGGTTTTATGAGGACTACAGGGTGAACCATGCCACGTCTGCCATCTATCTTTAGGGCAGCCTTGTAGAGAAATGGCTGAAATTTACTAGCTCACCTCCCTGTAGGCCTGCAGAAATGGACAGTAAGCTTTCACAAGAACATGGATTGCTGAAAATGATTTAGTTAGAAACAGAAGGTAATGGTGTCCTGGAAAATAACCCTGGTGAACTGGCCCCAGGGTGCTAGTCTTGACTGGAATCTTTCAGGAAGCAGACAGGTGGAAGAGGTATCAGGAAGGGCACGGCAGTGCTGACGAACTTAACACAAGGTGTGCACTTACAGGTTCCCTGGAAACTCCACAGATGGCCTCCAGGAAACGGAAACTCCGTTCTGTGAAAAGGCACAGAATTGTAGAGTTTTAGAATCGCAGGCTGAGCCACCACCAGGCTCAATTCCTGTTTTACAGAAGAGGAATCCAAAGCCTGGCGAGACGCAATTTTCCAAGGTCACCCAGCCGAGACTAATCCTGTACTAACTGCCTCGGATGGAGAAAGGGCTCTTCATCGGCTGACTCTAAGAGCTCTGGGTGGTTTTCAAACCACCTTAATAGCCAACGTGCATTTTGTTTCCCTGAGCAATTTAGGGCTATTTGTTAAAAATCAGAACTTGTCAAGTAAGCAAAACTATTCCCACGCCACCCTCTGGGAACAACAAAGAGAGGGGCTTGTGCAAACAGAGTAAAGGCTTGGAAGCCTGGTGTTTTGGGTACCAAATCTAACTATTATTTACCAGCCAAGCGACGTTGGAGGAGTCATTCAACCAAAGGGGCAAATACTTACCTCCTGATGGGGTCATTGTGAGCATAGTAGAGAAAGTATTTATTAAGGAAGCAACCCCGAGTGGATTCCCCTCCTCAATCCAGCTCCGGGAAATAGGGGTGCAGAGAAAAAAGCGAGGAGAGGAGACTGGAGGCATCCTGGACCCAGGAATCAGGGAGCAAAGGCCACCGAGACCCCTTCCCGCCCAGCTCTTCACTCACGCCTTCCCGGCAAATCTTCCAGCCTGACTTGTCTCGCCGGTACAGCAGCAACTTCTCGGCCACCGCCTCGCTTATCTGCGCGGCCAGAGCCGGGTCCATAGCGTCGGGAGCTGCGCGTGGCCGCGGAGCCGCAGGTGGAGGGCGGTGGTGGCCGCGGCAGAACCTGGATATGGAAGGCCTGAACGCCCGGACCTTGGGCGGAGCCTGGAGCCCCGCCCCCGCCCCCCGTTTCCGGATTGGTCCCCACCCTCAGGTGGACCCCGCCTGGCTCTGGGATTGGCAGAGTCCGAGGCCCGCAGGGCCGGATTCTGCAGTCTCCGTCACAGCCTGGGCTGGTCCTGGGCAGGTCCTGGGCACACCCGGCAGTCTTGCGGGATCCGCTCCCTGCCTGTCCGGTACTGGGAGGGGCCCTGGAGCCCGGAGACTCTGCGAGTGCCAGTGGTAGAGAGTCATGAGGGCCAGGACAGGTCATGAGCAACATCATAGGCTTGTTTAAGGAACGTGGACTTTTGCCTTGCGTGCACCCATAAAAAACCCATTGCCATCGAGTCGATTCCCACTCATAGCGACAGAGTTACCAAGGAGCGGCTGGTTGATTTGAACTGCCAACCTTCTGATTAGCAGCTGAATGTTTAACCATTGCACCACCATGGCTCCCCTGCGTGCACAAAGGCTTTCAACCAGGCAGGAAGATGGTGAAATTTGCACTGATATGGCCTCGTTAACATAATAAAGAAAACCTTCTTCCCAAATGAATTACAGAAGTATAGGGATAAAGGAATTACAACACATATTTTTTAGGGACACAATTAAATCCAAAATAATAATATATATATATATATATAAAGTGAAAAACATGCAAATTGTAGGGAATGGCATGTGGATAAGAGAACAGGTGCTTGAGTCATATCGGTTAGGTTCAAATCCCAGCATCACCACTTACTAGCTGTGACCTTGACGAATTATTGACCCTTCCAGAACTAAGTGTCTTCATTTGGAAAATGAGAAAAATATTAATACTTCACTTATAGGGTTAAGAACTTTATGGCAGTTCAAACCTACCAGCAGTTCCGTGAAAGAAAAGACTTGGCAGTCTGCTCCAGTAAAGCTTACAGCCTTGGAAACCTAACGGTGCAGTTCTACTCTGTCCTATAGGGTGGCTATGAGTCAGAAGTGAGTCGACAACAATGGATGAACTCATAGGGTTAAGATGTGAGTCAAATGATTTAACAGGTGAATAGAAGTTAGAATGGTGCCTGGCACACAGTAAACATATATAGGTAATATATATGTGTGTATACAAAAACCAAACCCGTTACTGTCGAGTTGATTCTGGACTCATAGCGACCCTATACATACATATGTGTATATAGATAGATAGAATAAGAAACAGCTAGAGACAAACTTATATATATTTAGAAAATTCACTTCTCAAAAGGGAAAGAATAAATTGTTAACAGAGGCGAGACATATCAAAGGACATTCCATTTTCATTTTATATTGTATACTGTTTAATTATTTTAATTACTAACATGTACTACTTTTAAATTAAAAAAAAAACTCACTTAAAAAATTCAGTGTAGAGTATTTCTATAAAGCTCTAGCTAGGAGACCTTCTCAGGCTGGGAGCCCATTAGAGTTTTGGGAAGGATATAACGCTGTGCAAACCAAGCTGAGTGAAAGCAAGTCTTGCAGTAGAAAGTGGCTTTTGTCAGACAGTAAACATTCGATAGATTTTTACACTTATCAGAATGCAGCATGGAGCATTGATATTGAGCATTGCAAGGGGCTGTAATCTTTGCTCCAAAAAGCGTAACACCCTGGCTATGTGAAATGTTTGGAGAAGTGTCTACCCCCCAGGGCCTGTGACAAACTGGCAGCAGGAGGTTCTCACAGGTTAGGGCAGCCCTGGGGCAGGGCTCTGGCCAGCTTTGCCTCTGGAGACTGCACAGGGCTGGGTGAGCAGCTGGCTAGAGCAGTGGGAGGAAAGAATGACTGAGCTCTGTAGATTCCACGGATCAGAGGCCCTCACAGGGCTGTCCTTGGGTGCTTGCACCCAGTTCTCCAGAGCAGAACCCTTTGAAGTCCCTAGCTGAATGTTAAATAGATGTATATACAGTCCCTGGGTGGCATAAATGGTGAAGCTCTCGATCACTTACCAAAATTTGGTGGTTCAAACCTACCCAGAGATGCTTCAGAAGACAGGCCTAGAGATCTGCTTCTGAAAAATCACCACCTTGAAAACCCTATAGAGCAGTTTTACTCTGCACACACGGGATCACCATAAGTAGAATAGACTCAACGGCAACTACAACAGCGTATGGAGTCCCTAGGTGGTACAAACGGTTACTGTGCTCAGCTGCTAACTGAAAGGTTGGAAGTTTGAGTCTACCTAGAGGCACCTCAGAAGAAAGGCCTGGTGATCTACTTCCAAAAAATCAGCCACTGAAAACCCTATAGAGTACAGTTCTATTTTGGCACACGTGGAGTCGCCATGAGTTGGAATCGACTTGGCAGCAACTGTAAGTTATATAGGGTAGAGGGACCAGTAGACTCAATGGCAGGAACTTGACCTCTAACCCTGACCACCAAGGGGGTGGGCCCAAGTGTTTTAGGTCTAGTCCTAAAAGCACCTAAATGGAGTATTTAGTTTCTACTTAGACAATGATGAAGAATTATATGCATATTTATTAATAGTTAGCTCAGGCAGTTGCTATATACACCTAAATATGCATGCATGTATATATATGCTCATTCTCCATTCAGTAACAACTAATTTTTACTCAGCACTTAAACTGCTTGCCAGACACTATCCTAAACACTTTACCTGTATTATTTAATTTAATCCCTATGATAATACCGCGGCTTTATGCGATAGAAAATATTATGCCCATTTTACAGATTAAGAATCTGAGAGTCACATAGGCCACACAACTACCAAGTGGCAGAGCTGTGGCACAAACACAGAGTTTCTGTTTCCAAAGCCTCATTTTTACTCAGAATGTTTTACTGTCTCCTTCTTTCTATAAGGATATGTAGTGTCTACCATGAAATTACGGTGTTGGCTAAGAATACTGAATATACCATGGACTGCCAGAAGAAACAACAAACCTGTCTTGGAAGAAGTACAACCAGAATGCTCCTTAGAAGCGAGGATGGCAATACTTGTCTCACTTTGTACGTGTTTTCCAATGGGACCAGTCCCTGGAGAAGGACATCATACTTGGTGAAGTAGAGGGTTGGCGAAAAAGAGGAAGATCCTCAGTGAGATGGATTGACACAGTGGCTGCAACAATGGGCTCAAGCATAGCAACAATTGTGAGGATGGTGCAGGACCAGGCAGTGTTTCATTCTGTTGTACATGGGGTCTCTATGAGTTAGAACTGACTTGATGGCAGATACCATCACCAACATCATCATAAAATAAGCAAATATATAAAGAAAAAACAAAACAAAACAACAAAACCCTGCAATTTCTAAAGATAAGGAACACACACAGACAGCAGGTGGAAAATAAGAATGCCACCCTAGACTAAGGGAAGTTAATCTTTCAGAGGGTGCAGAAAGTCTTTCTGTAACCGTCCTGGCATTCATAAGTAAGGAAACACAAGGGTGACCAAGGGAAGCATCCTTAGGTTACTGAGATAGTTACCAGATTATTCTTATCAAGTGAAATTCACTCTTTATATTTAATGGATACACTAGTTCTGGACTCTGAGACCTAAGAGGAGTTTGTGCGTTTAGGAGAGCGGTGTAGTAATCCTGTGGATCATGTTCTCAATAGTAGTTTGGCCAAAGGGCAGAGATACTCCCCTCCCCTTATTGACCATTTCTTACACCAGAATTAAAAGACAAAGCAATATTGTGAAAACACAGTGACTCAGAAGCATTTTGACAGTGTAGCTTTGTAGTTTTCTGTTGCTGCAACTTTTATAAACAAGGACTAGAGTTAAGAGAATGGGACTGATTGACTGATTGCCAGTGGTGCTTTTGCCAGGAGCTCATGAGAAACTGTTCACAGTGATTATAGCTCCTGTGAACGGAAAAAACGAGCAAAGGTGTTGAGTAGGCAATTAATTCACAAAGGAGAAAATGGCCAATCAACATGGAGAAAGATGCTAGCAATCAAAGCAATACGAAGTAGTTAAAATAAGAAGGTGTGTTTTTTCACCAGGTTGGCAAAAATCACATAGTGTGATAATATCAGTATTAGTGAGGCTGTCAGTAAAAAGCTCCTCTCAGCCTCTGCAGAGGGAATGTGCATGGTTCTGGATAGGTGAAGACTAACTGAGAAGCAGCTAGTAAAACTGAACATGCTAGGAATTTCTCTTTTAGGAGTACCAATACCCACCTCTATGTAAATACTGGTATCTGCGCAGTAGAAGACACATAAAAGATGTTTAGTGCAATATAATTTTTAGTCACAAAAAAGTGGAAATAATTTCAATGTCCATCAATAAGAAAATGGATAAGTATTATACAGCAGTATTTGTATATTTTATTATATATGCTCTAATATGTAAGCTCATGTCTTAGTCATCTAGTGCTGCTATAACAGAAATACCACAAGCAGATGGCTTTAACAAAGAGAAGTTTATTCTCTCACAGTCCAGTAGGCAGCAAGTCCAAATTCAGGGCATTAGCTCCAGGAGAAAGCTCTGTCGGCTCTGGAGGAAGGTCCTTGTGATGCATCAGTCTTCCCTTGGTCTGGGAGCATCTCAGCGCAGGAACCTCAGGTCCAAAGGACACGCTCTGCTCCCAGCACTGCTTTCTTGGTGGTATGAGGTTCCCAGGTGTCTCTGCTCGTTTCTCTCTTTTATACGTCAAAAGAGATTGACTTAAGACACTGTCCAATCTTGTATACCTCATCAGTATAACTGCTGCTAATCCATCTTATTAGATCATAATGACTGAATTTACAACACATAAGGAAATCACATCAGATTACAAAACGGCACACAATTAACAACACTGGGAATCATGACCCAGCCAAGTTGACAGATATGTTTTGGGGACACAATTCAATCCATGACAGCTTGATTTATATATTTCGATAGACCTCAAGAACATAAACATGTACAATGATATATGCAGTATAATTTGTTGCCATTGAGTCAGCTCCGACTCATACTGGCCTTATATATGATAGAACAAAATGTTG